GATTGTAGGCAGGCCAGCCTAAATGTTTCTAACCGGCGAAGATGTTCCATGAGGGGGGGTCCACGTTTCGCAAGCGTGGAGAAGGGAGGGAATGACTGTGGCCGAGAAGACCTGAAGCTTCGTGCGGAGCGACAGACCAGGTAGCTTCCACACAGCGTTACGCAACCGATGAAATGATAATGCCGCTCGACTGATTCGGAGTGAGACCTCTGTTGTTAATCCGGAGCCAATCATGAGCACACTGCCCAGGTATGGGAAACTCTCCACTCTCTCCACAACTGCCCTATCACCAATTGGTGATGTGTGGGTGGATTGTCCGATGGTACAAAATACCCAGACAGGTGCTTAGTTTTCGTGGGGATGATGGTAAGGCCCCACCTCTTAGTGGCAAGCTCCAGGTTCAGCAGCAGCACCTCCAACTCCTCCTCTGAGTGAGCAGCAATTACCAGATCATCAGGATACATAACATGATTCAGCAATAGGGAGTCATCCCTTGACCGCACCTGGGCACCGATCAGCCTCCCATTGTATCTGTACCAGGTGGAAATTCCTCCGGTACAGCTATTGAAGGCTTCACAAACTACGTGGGCGAAATAGATGTTAAATAATGTGGGAGCCAGAGGACATCCCTGTTGCACCCCAAGGTATACAGGGATGGCTCCGACTCCCGGCCACGTAGTTTTACCCGGACCCACTCACCATCATGAAGGTCCTTCATGATCATGAGCAGAGTGTCAGGGACTCCAAAAGCACGAAGAACAACCCAGAGCCCAGGCCTACTGATGGTATCATAGGCCTTGACCAGGTCAATACAGCAGAGAAGTAGGTCTTGTTGGAATTCACTACACCTCTGCTGTAGCAGACGAACAGAAAATATGGCATCTGTGCAGGACCGCCCTTTCCTGAAACCACATTGGGGCTCCGCATGCCTCTCCTGAGCGTGCCTAGCAAGGTGATGTTGAATAATCCTTGCCAGGACCTTTCCCGGCACACTGGTGGTCCCCCTTCTTAAAGAGGGGGACCACCAGGGCATCCTTGCAATCCTGCGGAACCCGTCCAGTGGTCCAGACTGTTGTTATGATGTCATGTAGGGCAGTCTGTGCACAAACGCCACCCTCCCTCAGCATTTTGCTTGGGAGATCACCTCGGCCCGGTGCCTTTCCTGATCTCAGACTCCGGATCGCCTTCAGTACTTCCTCAACAGATCGCACCTCATCCAGCCACTCACAGAGGGTGACTTCTTCCAATATTTGAGGCACAGCAGCCTCGGCAGGGTCATCCCCACTTTGTGCCATGTTGTTTTCCAGGCTGAGGGATTTCTCCTCCCCCAGGACCTCACAGAAATGCTCAGCAAATCTGTGAACCTGTTCCTGGGGGTCGGAGATTGGATTACCATTCTTTCCTCTAATGATGGTAATAGATGTGGCGCTGCAGGTTACTTTTTTGCGACCACCACCCATCCTTGCAGTGCCTCACGGCTTTCTGAACCTTCGAGCGAAGGCTGTGGTAAGCTTCCTCATTCTCCGACGTGGGATGCTGTAGCCGATAAGAGTGGGCCTGTCGCTTTTTCTCAGCCAGCCTGAACACCTCCTCTGTCAGCCAGGGTCTCTGGGGAGGTTTGGACCGTGTATCCAAATCAGCCATTGCAGCTGCATGAGCCACAGTCCTAAACCTCGCCCATTTCCCCTCGACATCCGGAGGAGTCTGGGACGATGCCAACCGCAGCAGCAAGCGGTGATAATATTTCCGTTTGTAACTTTCATCAGCTAGCTGAGACCATGCCACTATGGGTTTGAATGGGGTCCTGGGTGTACACCCGCCACCGGAGTGGAAGAATGGCAGGCGCATCTTACATATGACAAGTCGATGGTCAGTGGGCAGATCAGCTCCACGATAGGTCCTGGTGCCAAGGACATGGGCCCGCATCCGCTGTTCCGTCACTATGTAGTCAAACAGATGTTCTTGCTTGGACCCGACATGCATCCATGATGTTTTGTGGATGGGCCGATGCCGGAACAGCGTGTTGGTAATTACAAGCCCATGGGCTACACAAAAATCTAGCAGCCTCCTGCCGTTGTTATTGAGCTGATCTGGCCCATGCCTTCCAATCACTCCAGACCAGGTACCAACATCAGGTGCGGTCAGGACACTGTGCGACATGCGCGCTTTGATTATTGATTTGTTTACTTTTCACTTCCCACCAATTTGCCGTGGAACGGGGTGAGGGGGGGAGTGGGAGCGCCGGGGGTCCAAGGGATGTACGTTCGCGACGTCTCTTCACATTTTGCGAGCTTTGACATCTGCTCAGAATAGCAAGACAGCGAGGTCTCGGAAACTTGCGAAGGCTGGCTCCCGGGATGAGGCACGAGGTGTGCGGACACTTACGTTGTCTAGATGACAGCGCCGCAGGCCGCGAGTGCTGTCACTTCCAGATCCCGCGTCGGCTTAGCTTTCTCAGGCCCAGTGAGTTAATCTTCTGCTGTGGAAGTTATTTTTTTATTTCTATATGCCAGCACCCACCAGGGTCGCCGGGTTCAAAGCATGCCTCGCCTAAGCAGGGCTCGCACGGTGGTCGTTTCCACGGCGTGACCCCTTAGCTCGCTGATCCAATCGCCGCGCTTGTGGAACGTCGTGGCGCGAGCGTGAGCGACACGGAAACTCGCCACCTTGGTAAGGAGTGTCCCATCGTGATTATGTTGCTGCGGTCCGAGGTGGGGTTGGTGGACCATGTGTAGATGGTTAGGGACTATAACGAAACATCGGTGTATCTGTTTCCGGAGGGTTATATGCGATTATTGAAGGGCTTGCATGGCACCACACGTTTAAGAATCCATATATTTTTTTTACTTATGCAAAACAGTTGTGTTTAAGGTTATTATAGTGAATACAACTATACAACCGAGAGGGAAACCACCCTTCAGAAATGGTCCAAGATAGATGGAAAAAATATGGCAATAAAAGAAATATATAATTTGAATTATCTAATCATCGCCTGCAATTGCAGCATTTATTTACATTGTTACGCTGATAATTGGGAGTGCGTGCGTGAGTCACCTACCCACTGGGAGACAAGGTGACATAGAAGGCTGGCAAGTGCAGTAAGTAGGTTAATGACTTGTTTTGCGTGGCCTGTCAGCTTTTTACCCAGCCGCTTGTAAATGTTTCACAGACGCTCCAGCTTCCTTCCAGGGCATGTAAAAACACTAAAAAGATTTTGACAAACATCCCAAAATGTGTGCTTGCCCCACTCGAATGAAAGTTTATATACATATTGTTTTTACGTGCGTGTGCTTACGTGACACTCAATGAATACCAACGTACTGGCGGATTGGTAGTCGGTCGCACGGTCTGAAGGCTGCGAGTTCAAATCGTGGTTGGGGCTGCCTCAGCCCATCATCCCTTCGGGGGACGATAAAATACAGTAGAACACCTCTTAATGACCACCCCTGTTAACAACTAATCGCTAAACGACGGGCCTCCATAGAGCCCAATGTGTCCGCTTACCGACTATTCCCCTGTGAACGACGGGCTGTTGTAGGTACAATAAGTATTAATTGATGCATTGATTAACCATGTTTTTTTATATTATGTGTTTATACCGTTCTTAATATCTTCATGTCTTAATATCCATTGTTTCAACATTGTAAAGTATACTCTCTGGTTCTTTCGGTAAAGTCACATAGGTATAAAATTAAATTAAAATAAATCACGACGTTTCGATTGCAACACAAGCAATCATCATCAGGTGGGAAAACCACATCAAGAAAATGTTTGGCTGTGGTTTTCCCACCTGATGATTATTGTTTGTGTTGCAATCGAAAGGTCGTGATTTATTTTATACCTACGTGACTTTTACCGAAAGAACCTGAGTATGGATTCCTGCCGTCACGAAAGCTTCAAATCTAGATTGTAAAATATGTTTTTTTGGTGAAAATATCTAACTTTCGATGTAATTGGAACGAATTAAGCCTTTCACATGTATTTCCTATACTCGCTTAACGACTGCTTTAGTGGAACCGTTTACTAAGTTGTGGGAAGTCAATATTGGTCATCGTATGGAGAGAGCGGCTGACTACCACCGTGGAATTATGAAATGTTCACAATGCCTCTGGGCCACGAACAGTAATGAGTGCCACATCATTGCTTCTTTGAACAGGGGTAGAATACATTTCGATTTGAAGCTTTCGTGACTGCAAGGATTAATCTTCTTTGGTTCTTTCGGTAAAGTCACCACGTAGAATGAGAATAAAATAATAAAATAACACAATAAAATTCTCACGACGTTTCGGCCACAACGCAAGCGGCCGTCTTCAGGTGAAAGGTACAGAACTGTCGGGACGACAGAGCTGTTATTTTATTATTTTATTCTCATTCTACGTGACTTTACCGAAAGAAGAGGGGTAGAATAAACTTTTTTTTTACCTTGGGTCAAGATCTATATTGTTGTATATTGCTTTATATAATCTCGTGTAAAGACATTTGTTCTTGTATGTGTGACTGTGCATGCCCGTACGTGTCAGTTACATGTGTGTGTGTATGTGTGCATCTTGTCGGGAGCGGTAGTGTAGAGCTTAGCGCGCTGCGTTACGAACCCGTCAACCCAAGTTCGATTCCCGCTCGTGGCCACAAACATCAGTGATGATTATCTGAACCGGTTCTGGGCCTCCCTTAGGTCGACTCATCCTCAGATGAGTAGCAGGCATGGTGTGTAAACATCGCCACTGGGGAAACAAAGGTGGCCGGGCGCGGTGCTGAACGCTCACCCCTCGTGTGCCGCGCCAACCTTCGTAGACGCTGCTGCTCGCTAACAGCGCTTGCCTCAACAGTCTGTTCGGGCTATGGGGGGGGGGGGGGGTGGGATCTTTGTCTTTGTGTGGTGTATTCTGTGCAATCATTCAGAGCTGTTGAGATTGTGCCCACGAGTCCATCGTCGAGATACTTTCTCGTCATGCAGTAGACGATTCCTTGCGGGTTTGCGCGCACGTGTTCACCGCACGCAGGATGCTGATCCTGGCGGGCGTGGACGTGAACCGGCAGACGCGGGTGGGCACGGCGCTTCACGAGGCCGCCCTCTACGGCAAGACCGAGGCGGTGCGCCTGCTCATCGAGGTGAGAGCCAGGTGCCCGCGAGGTCACACCGGGGCCACGCCGCCTGCCTCTTTCCGCACCGCGGGCGGCGCTCGGCGGGACGCTGGGGGGGTGGGCGCCGTGCCGTCAAATGTCCCTTCGTGACCCTCAGCGCCGTCGCCCGCACCACCGCAGCCTCAACGTTCCACTCCCCCCCACTCCCCCCCCCCGCCCCGGTGACGCTGCGGCCCGGTGGGTGGTGCCGTTCGCCGCTTGTTGCAGAGGTCTGCGGGTTTGGAATTCCGGTTGGCTGGATGAAATGCTTGAGCTGAGTGCGATCCTGCTACTGGAGTCCGATTTCTTTTTTGGGGGGGGATTTCAATGTCTGGGCTGATTTCCCCAAGTACAAATTAGCCTCCTAAGCTCAGCGACAATATCCTTGGCCTGGACTTTAATCAAGCTAAATTTTGATTTAAAGCTTTCGTGACTGCAGTAATTCATATTCTTAGTTTTTTCGGTAAAGTCACGTTGAAGAGAAACAACAAGCTGTCAATGGCCCAAGACATACAGCCCGCAGATACACTGGATATAATATCTTCAGCACAAATCGCAGTCTTTATTTTAGATATCATTCGGGTAAATTGGTCACGTAATTTTCTACTTTCATTTAAGTTTAGCATTGAAAGATATAACCTGTACTCATCGGGTTAAATTTTAAAATATTCTAATTCTAAAAATAAAATATTAACGCCGGAAAGCCTGACACCGTTTTTTTCTGCAGGAGGAACTACGGGCTGTTGACTCCGTAGGGCAGCTTTGCTGAATTCGTAAACCTTTCTCTGGTGCATCACTTACCAATTATCTTGACTCGGTGGCTCCCAAAGAGCAGATTCGTTCCTCAGCGTTTGCCCTCTGAACGATCGTTCGCGCAACATCGGACTATTTTCAGAAGACACATTCGCTCGGCTGAGCGCCATTGGCATAAAGCATCTCTGCAAGCTCATGGAATTGTTCTCAAGCCGAAATCACAGAAAACCTTGATTAGATGAAGCCCAATTTCGGTGACGGTAACGTCGTTTGCAACAGCAGGCCATCGTGTGACGGCGTCATGGTCTGAAATTGCCAAATTTGGTTACACTGCAAATGACTAAATTTTAATCTGCATAGCAAACTGAACTATAAACTATTTTTATTTTCCCAGGTAAGGCCCACTGAGCTATATACTGTAGCTATTTTTTTCAAAGCGACCTGGCCACAAATGATAGCTCGACAAAATGGCCTATGTGGAATTTTCTATCAGCCAAATGCTCTAAACGCATGTTTCTAAATGTGGAGGGAAAACACCAGAGGACCCGGATGAAAATCTACGCGACCACGGGGAGAACACGCAAACTCCAAATATCCAGCCATCAGGGTCGGGATCGAACCTACGACCTCCTGTATACCCGGTGAGGTAGTTAACATATTTCCACCGTGGTGCCCCCAACAACATCACCCCGACTGAGAAAACTTGGCAGGACCTTCCTGAAAACAGAGGCATAAGACTCAGTGAGGCTCTCATAGGTAGACAAGCATAATAATAATCCAGCTGTTACGGTGGCCCATACAACGGATCTACTAGCCACCCCCATCTGTGAGGAGCTGGAGCCAGACCTGCTTCCGCATCAATTTTATCTCCATCATCATCATCATTGTACATAGCAGGAGATTCAAATGTCAGCAGTAGCAACAATCCTAACAACATCATCATCATTATCATCATCTCCACCATAGGAAGCAGGATCAGTTAATCATCGTCATCATAATTTTGTCCACCTTCGTCGCCCTTCCAATGAGCTGAGCGAGTTGGACGGCTGCAATGAAAAATGAATTTCTAGCACTGTGCTCACACTAAGACATTTGCTCGCCACAGGGACAATTTAGACGCAGCCCCACGGTTCGTTTGTCACTGCTGCCCGCTCGTTCCTGTGAGGAGGTGACTACCAGATCGCTCTGTAGGATGATAAGTGATTGTTAAAGTCTAAGGGCGGAAGCGACCCCCGCCTCTGCAGCCACCGCACGAACTGTGACAATTCAAGAGCCACGGTTGGATTGAAAAACAATTCATTTCTGTCATGTCTTTCATGTCTTGTTTGCGTTGTTTTTGGTATCTCTCTATCGTGTTTATCCAGTTTGTGTTTGCTCCATTTGCCCAAATGTAAGAAGCACAATGTCATTTGCATATACCATAGTTTCTAATCTGTAAATATTCTGGCAGATAGTGATCAAGTTTCCCTTGTGGCTAGTATATGACAGTACAGCAAGTATTATTGGGTCTTTTGTAAAGTCACGTAGTGAGGTTATCACTAGCCCCACCCACTTCGTTTATGACCCTTGGGCTACACCCATTTCAAACCTTTAAAACAGCCTGCCTCAGCAGCTTTCCCGCTCTTTTTCTCCTGATGTCGATTGCTTGTGTTGCAATCGAAACGTCGTAGTTTTTTGTTATTTTCTTTGAACCTATCTATGTTACTTTACCGAAAGACACAAGAATATGAATTCCTGCAGTCACGAAAGCTTTAAGTCAAGATAGTACAGCAAGTACACTCTTGATCTGTCCGTGTATTATTTTGAGTTGCATTCTCTTATAAGAGATGGATTTTCTTCAGGTGTTTCCAGTTTCCTCACAGTATGCAAAATGTATGCCGAAAAATGTCCGAAACATCTCACGGAACTGACCTACCGGTCCAGAATTTGAAATGAACGCTGCTGATATTATGAACTCCCAGAGGGCCGTGCGGCTGATGGGCTATGTAAGAAATTTATTTTCTGTTTGGAGAGACAGATATGTGAAGGAGACGGGTTGCCTGCTGGTGTCAGGTTAGGCCCCTTGAGACAAGAAGCTCATTTTCAATGGCCACCCGGCCAAAGTGGCCAAGCATGTTACATGTGAAGGCAGGGTTTTACGGGGCTTTGCTAAACCACGAGACAGGTTAAACATACACCTGAGAGTCACACATGCGGGGAGGGGCTTGCAGTGGCAGCGGCTAGCAGTCGTGACTGTAATTGCTGCACTCGAGCAGATGGAATTGGCCTGCACTTTAGTCAGGCCCGAGTGCGACGTTTGCAGAAGAAGCCACGTGTGAATTGTGTTCAAATGCCACCGGCTGTGATGGGTTCACTCACAGTCCAGTACCCTCCTGAAAAACGGGTCTTGAGGCTTTCATGAAGAAAAATAACTAACTATGATCATTACCTTTATCGTCATCATGACCATCAGTCAGGATCAATATCAACGTAACAGGGACATTATCTTTGCAATGCTTATTGAGTTTTTTAGGTTCAATATAAATGGTACTGTTATGGATCTTCCAAATGGTGATTGAATGACAATAATTACATTGTGATTTTACAGTCGGGGCTGTGGCGCGTGGGTGGCGATGAAGCCCTTACTGTTGTGGTGCCCATCGTCCATTGTCTCGTAGAGTGGAGTGAACGTTCACATCCGGAACTCGTACAACCAAACAGCGCTGGACATCGTGAACCAGTTCACGGGGTCACAGGCCTGCCTGGAGATCAAGCAGATGCTTCGTGGTGAGTAGAGCGTGTGCCATTATCGACGAAAGGGAGGGGAGAAAAGTAAAATTATAATACAAATATATATTTTAACACAAGTGTGGATTTACCAGGTTGGGCTATGACCATCGCCGTAGTGAGAGGCATACTAGGTGTGGTGCGCTGCACAGAGGGAGCAGCATGGGGTTTGCCTTTCCTGTCCAAAAGTTGAAAGGGACACTTACCCTGCCCGCTCTCCATTATCCCCCTGTACCAAGGGCGGTTTCCCACTGGCTATTTGCCGTGCCGAGTCGTGACCAGAACGTAATCCGCCGGCCTCGCAAGGCACCCGAATTTACCTCGGGACCGCGGGGCAGGGGCCGAGGCCAGGGCTAATTGACGCGTTCGACGCACGCCACATCAGTCGGCAACACCGTCGCCGCGCCGTTTCGCAATGCGGCGCGGCTCGGCCGCTCCTGCACGTGGAAAAAACAACGGGGCCCAACCTCCTGGCTCGCGATGGCCCCGGCCCCGGCACCACCCCAAGCGCTCACCGCGGTTGAACCGGCGGCAAAGGGACCTGGTCGGTCTGGGGGGAGGGCTGCCTCGACATGAACGTTTCGCTGACCTGCGCCCGCTCGTCCCCTCTGCTCTGCGCGTGGCTGCCGTTGCATTGCAGAGGCGACGAGCATGTTGCAGGTGCGCGCGCTGCGCGATTACTGCAACGTGTACGACCCCACGAGCCTGAGCGTGAAGGCCGGCGAGGTCATCACGGTGAGCGAGCACTCTGCACACCTCCTCGCACCGCTCGTAGGAACCCTCGGAAAGTTCGTGCAGCTCCAGGTCATCGTGCGGCGGCCCATCGTGCGTGGCCCGTTTCAGCACCCTCGATTCGGCAACAAAGACACTGATTGGGCATTCCGATGGCCGAGCGTGTGGGCTACGTTTCACCGCATGCATATTTGACACGATACAAAATGTTATTCTGCATTTAGACATGACGATGTCGGTCGTGGTAGTTGTCTATAGTTGCGTAGGTGTTGTTGGGAGCGGTAGTGCAACGGTTAGCGCGCTGCGCCATGAACCCGGCGACCCGGGGTTCGATTCCCGCTCGCAGTCAGTGCAAGTGACGATTATTATCTGAATCGGTCCTGGGCCTCCACCATGTCGACTCAGCCTCAAATGAGTACCTGGTGCGATGTGTAAACATTGCCACTGGGGAGACAAAGGAGGCCGGGTGTGGTGCTGGCCACCTTCCCCCTCGTGTACTGTGTGGACCTTCATAGATGCTCGCTAACAGCACTTGCCCCAACAGTCCGTTAAAGGCTATCGGGGGATCTTTGTCTTTGTAGGTGTTGGAGCAACATCCAGATGGTCGCTGGAAGGGATACATTCAGGACAGCCGAGGTGCGGACCGCGTTGGATTCTTTCCGCCGTCCGTCGTGGAGCTGGTCAGCCGGAGAAATGGTACGGTTTTATTTCTACACTCACGTGCCACACCCCAGGGTAAACAGACATGGTATGGTCTCAATTCAACAATCTGGACCACCCCAGGCAAACGTAAATGGTGCGGCCCCATTAATACACTCCCTGGACCACCCCAGGCGAAGAGAAATGGTGCGGCCTCATTTCTCCACTCCCTGGGCCACCTCAGGCAAACATAAGTGGTACGGTCCCATTTCTGCACTTGCTGGACAACTCCAGCCGAATTGCCAACACAGATACTGTATTCATCTCTCTCTTTGGTGATGAATTTCAAGCCACAGTGTGGCTCTGTGTGTTCTATTCGTGAGCTCAGTTACCATGTCATTATCCAATAATTTTAACGTCTTGCAAGCAAACCAAAATACGAATATGTCATGTAAGAAAGTGCTGTACCTCCTAATTAGCTCACCATTTCGCCAATTTACATCTCATAATACTTTCGCGACAAATCCATAATACACTGTACAGATTTTTTTGTTTGATCGCATAAATATAAATGTGTTGTTAAACCAGCCACCGCCCGACACAGCCAATTAGTAAGGTTTGTCACGTAAACAGAACGTGCCTGTCTCATAGTTCCACCATCCTAACCACCATTGTTGCATTCGTCCTTTTGTCCCCCCCCCAATGGCACTCCAGAACCACTGGCAAAAAATCCACGTCGCTGTGGAACAAAAAAGACTTCCGTGTCTTAAACAAAAAAGGCTACCAACTGTTGATGTCCAACCAAGGGGTTGTGGCTTCACTCACTCGGCAACTCTTTCACTCGCCCCAGAAAAACGATGGCAAGATGGTCGTGAGTCGATCCTGCTAAGGCTTTGAACGCACGGCATGAGGACTGGAAAGCCTTCTTGCTGTTCTTGTCAACTCAGCCCAATGTAGCCACAGTGCAGATGGCGCGCTGTTTTGCGTTACGATGCAGAGAGGTTTGTCGCGACGTTTTACCTTTCCTCACGTTTCGAAACTCAAAAAGTCACGTCGGTGCCATTCAGGCGCCCCCGTTAGCCCCGTGAAGTTCCGCCTCATTTGATCGATGCTCGGCAAACACTGTGAAGCGCGAAAGATGTATCCATTGATGGTTGACTTGTGTAAGCAAGGTATATGATAATACAGTGTTTTAGTGAAACTCCGTTTGCCTAACCTCAGAACTGTAAATCCCACCGCAATTGTGGCCGTCAATAGGGATGAAGCTCATAAAAAAACACACAAACGTCATGAAACAGCATCGTTTCCTTAGCGAAACCCCTTTTTTTACGTCGAGTCACCACCCTTGACGGAGCGAACCCCCACAATGTCGGCGCTCGCACGGTAAAAAAAGTGCAAACAGCGCCTGTGGAACACGTGACCTTGAGATGCATTGATGCCACCGCTCGTAGCTACACAAGAGCACATGGGCAAAGCCTGTTATGATATCAGAATTATCTATTTCATTCTCATGGCATCATCCATGAAACAATTTGCCCCTGCCCACTCCATCCATCCCCAGCTATCCGATTAGGGTGCCACGGTTGCAAGATGTTAACTACCTCTCCTGGTGTAGAGGAGGTCGTGAGTTCGATCCCGACCCTGACACCTGCTGTATATTTGTAGTTTGCATGTTCTCCTCGTGGTTGCATGGATTTTTCTCCGGGTCCTCCGGTTTTTCCCTCCACATTTAGAATCATGCGATTGAGAGTATTTGGCGATTACGAGTATTTGGCCGCTTATAAATTTGCCCATGATAAGCCACCTTCGTTGAGCTATCACTTGTGGATTCTGAAAAAGAGCTACAGGGCTCAGCGGGCCTTACCTGGTAAAATAAAAAAATATTAAATTGTCAAAATTATTTGCGCTCGTTACAAGTTTAAATTCACGAATGAATGAGAATCAAATATTCGTGTAAACATTTGCGGTGAGTTGTAAGCACCTCTCACGGATGTCCGAGTGACGTGAACCAATTTCAAGATATCCATTTTGAACAGCGTCGATTCCTGCACGCATGATTAAATGCATTTATTGTGAGCTTAAGGTGAGATATTAATCGATGATTGGATGCATCGTTTCCACCTGTCCTGATTGGTGTATATCTCCCAAAGCTGCGCCACTTTTGCCGCTGACAATAAACAAAGTGAAGGTGCTTAGAACTCCTTACACAAAGCCCCGGGTCTTGTTATACATCAGGCAATTCAGGAAATTGATTAAATATTTATAACATAAACTAATTTCATCGCTTCTCAATCAAACATCGGAGCCCATTTAACACACAGCCGCAGTCTTGAGGTGAAGAGATCGAGCGAGCTTGCGGCTACACCCGTCTGACAATCGGTGGCAAACGACCCCGAGACTTTGGCTCGAGCCCCTGAACACATCTAGCGTCACCGAACACCCGCATTCAAACTAATTCTTCCGGCTTAAGTTTTTTATCCCTCTCTCTCTCTTCGCAATACAACGTAGGTTGAATCGCAGGGGAGTTCGTTAAGAGCTGCCTGATTGATATTCATGTTGGGGAATCGTCGGGCGGGCTGCCGGGAGCTCGTCATCGCGCGACGTGACATTTCCCACCGCACTCTCCGACCGGCTTTGCCCCGGTGTGCGCGACCTTCGCGGCGACGTGCCGAATCGTTCACCTTCGGCGCACGCCGTCCCCGTCGTCAAGTCAGGCATTCGCATGACGTTCAGACGGGGGTAGGTGGGGCCACGTGGCTTCCGCACGCGAAACAAGAGCTCGGCGTCGCGTTTTGTTTGGGAGGCTCGGATGGCACGCGCAGACGGTTTACGCGGCGGTCGAAATGCGACAGCCACGCGCGGTCGTGTTTGATTGGCGCCGGGTACTGGGTAAGTAACGATGCGTCGATTCGTTAATGAGAATTGATCCTTGCTCTCACGGTTATATGCAAATACGATTACATTTGATTAATATCCGCGTGGAGGAGCGGCGGCGGAGCGGTTCGCGCGACACACTCTGAAGCCACGAGTGGTGTACGCTTGGTGTACAATTGGTGTACGCTTGCTGTACGCTTGGTGTACGCTTGCTGTACGCTTGTCCGCTGAAGCCAGCAGCTGCGTTTCCGAACTCGGACTTCGATTTAGAGTGGCTACCCAATCCATACGGACACAAAGCAACCTGTCTCGATTTCGATTTAAAGCTTTCGTGACTGCAAGGATTCATCTTCTTTGGTTCTTTCGGTAAAGTCACGTAGAATGAGAATAAAATAATAAAATAAAACGATAAAATTCTCACGACGTTTCGGCCACAACACAAGTGGCCTTCTTCAGGTGAATGGGACAGACCTGTTAGGACGACAGAGCTTCAATGAAGCTCTGTGACACAAGCGGCCTTCTTCACCTGACAAAGGCCACTTGTGTTGTGGCCGAAACGTCATGAGAATTTTATTGTTTTATTTTATTATTTTATTCTCATTCTACGTGACTTTACCGAAAGAACCAAAGAAGATGAACCTGTCTCGATGTTCTCTTGTGGCATCAGGCGTAGCCGTATGGCATTCATAGCTTCACTAAAAACTATCCTGTGCCACTGACCTCTCTCTCTGTCTCTCAAGGTCTCCCACCGTACCTCTCCTTCACCCTTCTCACTCTATTGGCCACAGCAAAAGCGCCACATCCTAAACAATCGGTCCATCATGCACAGAACCAGCAGTGCCCTGGCTGAGCGGCGTTTCTCCATGGCTGCGCCAATCGCCTGGGACTCTCTCTCTCTCCCACTGCACACGCAGCAGCATCCAAGCACCACCATCCACCTTCACGCAACAGCTCAAGGTGTCCGGGCTCTCACCTGTCCGGGCTCTCACCTGTCCAGGCTCTCACCTGTCCGGGCTCTCACCTGTCCGGGCTCTCACCTGTTCAGGCTCTCTCACCTGTCCGGGCTGTTACCTGTCCAGGCTCTCTCACCTGTCTGGCTCTCACTTGTTTGGGCTTTTACCTGTCCATCTCTCACCTGTTCAGGCTCTCACCTGTCTGGGCTCTCACCTGTCTGGGCTGTCACCTGTTTAGGCCGTGTACAAGGGACTTTGTGCTTTGGCTCTGTTGCTCCGAGTTCTCGATCAAACAATTAATCCGGTTCGTGATATAAGGCCGCAATATAAATTGTGTTAATTATTATTCAGCAGTGGATTGCCGAAGAGCTTTAAATTATTATCTCTTAACTAATGTATTCACAAACAGGCACTTTGTGTGTCAATGGCCATGTACAGAATAGGATGTGACTATTAAGCCAGTGTATAGCTCTTAGGAGGCTACATTCATCTTCTGTGGCAGTGCGGGGATGAACTCTGAATATCAGCGCCACGCGCTCACACCAGTGGGTGCAGGCTGCGTAAGCCGCCCGGCCACCGCTGTGGATGTGAATTTTGCAATAGATTATTTTGTTTTAAGAGTATCCAACATTGCTGGGTTTATTGGTGTAATTCTATTTTAATAATATGCCTAGTATTATCCTCCATAGATTTTTTTTTTATTAAAGTTGACATTATTCGGTATTTACTTCAACGTGTAATCTAACACTCTGGAATCTATATTCTTTTCATTGAAGGCTTCTTCAATCAACAAATTAACGATTGCATACATTATACATTGCTCCTTCCGCAAATTACTGCAATGACAATTAATGGATTGATATATTTTCATTTTCAAAAGAGACTTGGGGTCCAATGCACGACCAGATAATTTCGCCACCGTTCCACTTTCCGTTTGGCGGTGTGCCCGCTGTTGTTGTGAACAGTTATCCCGATGCCGCAGTTTTGTTTTTTCACGGAGGGAACTTTATCGATCGGAACGATCATTTGAGCATGTAAAGTGTCTAAATATATAGATATGAATAATGATGATGACATTTATAACGCGCCAGGTTTTTGCAGACAAGTCAACAACTCAGAGGCGCGGAGCTAAGCTCAGGGCTGCTCGAAAGCCCTGACCCAAACAAACAGAGGCCTGAAGATGTTTCTTACGAGTCGGAGTGCATTTGATGTTGCGGATGTGCGAAGGGGATAGAGTTCCACACCGAGGTCAATGACACACCATGGGTCAATACCCATGCGTTGCGTCTACTGCCAAACATACGAGGACCTCAAGACGCTTCTCCAAGCACACGGACAAATGTATTTTTGTTAAGTGGCAACATGAAAATAACAAATCGACAACCGAACAAAATAAATAGGTCGGATTGAGCAGCGGCATGTCACTCACCGCGCAAACATCTCAAACACCGCGTGTGACCCCCCCACCCTAACCTTCCTCCACATTCTGCTCACTTAGGCTTGCCGCCTCTGCTTGTACAAAAACGAGGACATATCATGGGAGACGAGAAGAGTATCTTACGCTACCAGAATAGGGGAGAACTGCACGTGAATGCATCGTCTCGAGCGGTGCGTTTTGACTTACGCAACAGGCGCTGTCAGTATCCCCGGAAGACTTGACCCATTTACCAAGGCGGTTGCCACCTCGCTAAAATGTTGATCCAGGGAAACACCAGGACGGGTGGCAACCCTCGTGTTACTCCACACGGCAGGAAAGAGAAAAGGGAGCAGGGTGAGGCCAGGGTTAAGCACGAACCCCGGAGTGGTGGACTTTCCTCGCAATTCGTGAGCTACACCTGGGGAGCGGCCACGGTAAACTCAGCGAGGCCTGGGCCGAGATGTTAACTACCTCGTCTGGTAACGAGGAGGTCGTGAGTTTGATCCCAAACCCTGACGCCTGCTGTATATTTGGAGTTTGCGTGTCTCTCTCTCTCTCTCTATGTTCGCGTGGATGTTTCTCCGGGTACTCCGGTTTTTTCCCTCCACGTTTAGAATCAACGTCACGCATTTCGAGTATTTGGCTACTATAAATTTCCACGTGATATGCGACTTCGTTGAGCTATCGTTTGTGGCCATGTCATTTCTGAAAAAGAGTTACGTCGCTCAGTGGGCCTTTACCTGATAACATTTTTTACAAAATCTTTTAAAATAGTTTCATTCGTGTGGCACTTTGACGCTTGCGTACTGCCTGCAAATCGTGTTGCTATTTTCTGTTGCCCAACTTCACCTTCTTTTACCTTCCGGGTGAGTGCCCTCCACGATAGATTTTCTAGAATCCTCTACAATCTGACCCACGTTTGGTGATGTCAGAATGTCGGGAGAGGACGAGCATCATGGAATTCTAGATTTGAAGTTTTCGTGACTGCAATGATCCATACTCTTTGGTTCTTTCGGTAAAGTCACGTAGGTAGAAATAAAAAAATAAAGTCAATCAAATTACGACGTTTCGCACAGCAAAATTACATCAGCAATTTTGCTGTGCTAGTTACACCTGATGACGGAAGCTTGTGTTGCCTCCGAAACGTCGTGATTTGATTAACTTTGTTTTTTTTTATTTTTACCTACGTGACTTTACCGAAACAACCAAAGAGTATGAGCATCATGGAGGTTCGGGATAGAAACTGGCGAGAAAAAGTTTCGGATGCCACGAGGAAGAAGAGGTTGCGATGGAAGGATGATGTGCACTGGAGAGAGGAGGGTGGGCTGCCATGATAGACATTCGATGGGGCACCTGGAGATAGTGACCAGAGCGGAGGCCTAGAGCCAGGCAGTGGCAATGAGACTTACATACGTTGGATCTGCAGGGGCCACTGGTGCAAAAAAGTGTGGGTATCTGGCAAACGGAAGGACGCAACGGCAAGGCATGGCGGCATTAATGCCATAAGTGTCTGTATGTGGTATAAATTATAATGGCTCTACGAGCGATTTTGTCATGCCTTCACGTGGCATTATCTCCAAAGCTAGGTGCCCCAACTTCAGGAGGTTCTGTTTGCTGGTTAGTGCTCACCACTGGTTTACGCCCAATGCAGATGTGTCACAGGTAGATTAGAATGGGGTAGGTGACAAGGGAGGCATTTATTAAGATGACTTGTAAGTGGGTTTACGTGTACGCTGTAATTGCTTTTGCAAGAGGCTAACCGTTGATTGTTTAACGGTAGACATGTGGGGTGAATGGCCAGGAGCCTGTGTGCGCGCGCGCGTCCTCAATGGCAACGTCACACGATCCCACGGTGTCCGTACAGTGCTGCCTCTGGTTGCTGAGCGACTGCGTTCTAAGGTGGCACTCATCGCACGCAAAGCGCTCACCACGAGTGAACTGCAATGGCCTTGCTGACCTCGTCTGGGAGCATCAACCATCGCGCGGACTGCGGTCATCCTCACAGCAGCGGCTTTTTTGCTGGCCGTCGAGCAAGGATGGTCACTGCGTTCGCGCGATTTCGGATGCGCTCCTGTGGCCGTCTGGAACGCTCTTCCTTCCGAAATTAGGAAGCCACTGGAGCTGAGCACTTTTTAAAATCTAGATTGAAAACTCCTTTCTTTAGAACTGCTTTGTGTGTTTAGTTTGGTGTCCTTCCCCCGCTCCTCCCAGTAGCACGATTGGCTATGTACGGTGCGAAAAAAGTTCAACATTCATACGTTACGGTCCGTTTGTCCGTCCACAAATATATGCGGATATATTTTTTTGACTTTGTATCACGGTTGCTAAGCATATGCCCAAAACGCCGTAGGGCCAGTGACAGACAGCCCTATTCAAGTTGTAATAGGTTAAGGGCAAGGTTCATTATGAGAACTAGGAAAGAGAAAAAAACAGATAATGGGAGGGAATTCCATAGTGGAACAGGGTGAAGAAAGAATCATGAAGACAAGTGTCGTGCATAATAAAGGTTATTTTGGGTTAGATCGCGTAAATATATAAATGTGTCGTTAAACCCGCCACCACCCGACACAGCCAACTAGTAAGGGCTGTCACGTAAACAGAACGTGCAAATTCGTCACTAGTACAGCACACCGGCGTGTTGGATGATATTGGTCGAAGAATTGTTGTGGCCCTGCAGTGCGGCGAGTGGATGGGTGAGTAGGTGAATGAGTGGGTTGTTTTCACCTGGAGTGTGGTGGTGGTGGTGGTGTTGGTGGTGGTTGAACAAAGCGTGGAGGAGACAAAACGGCCAATGTGGTAGACTGGGTCATCATCACGGGTGGAGGAATTCATGAGCGAAGGTCACGGGGCAAGGAAGTGACCATGGTAGTAGCAGCAGCAGCAGCAGAAGAGTGATATGGAGGCGACTGACCGCCGGCGAGCGAGCGATTGGCAGTGAATCGGCGAGTGACGTTCACGAGAAGAGTAACCGTGGTAGTCGTGAAATAAAGAGTGGAAGGGAGGTCACTGACCGCCGGCGAGCGAGCGACTTGAGTGAACCAATGAGTAATGCAGTGCAGCTTCCCCCCCCCCCCCCCCCAGCTACCGGAGCACGGCATCATTGAGCTATCGCAGCCTTGCGGTTTTGTGAGCTCATGGGGCTAGCGACGGTGATGGAGTAGGGACCCCCCCCCCCCCCCGCGTGCGATCGCTAGTGGGGGGCTGCCAGGTCACCGCTGGGGGTGGGGGGGTCACTAACCAGCTGTGTACTGCGGCGCGTGCCTCGTGTCTTGACGGTGGTCTCTATTGCTCTGCCCAGTGCATGCCTGCGGCTCGCTGAGGGCGAGCTCTCAGTCCCGCCCGGCATTTCACAGCCACTGCCTCACCAACGGCAGCATGCTCCCTCGTCCAGGTACTGGCGGGGACCGCTAACCGCACGCACGCACGTCGAGATGTGCCACACGCGCGATCGCGAATACAGCCAGCACGCACGCACGCGCAACTCATTCTCGTTGACATCATTAACCCGCACTTATTCCGGGCGCGCACTGACAGTAGTGTGCATGCATGCAGGCAAGCGGCCGTGCACGTGCACACGAACATTGCTTGTACGCACGTTTACAAAGGCAAAGACAAAGATCCCCGCCCCCCTTATAGCCTTACACAAGCTGTTGGGGCAAGTGCTGTTAGCGAGTAGCACCTATGAAGGCCGGCACAGCACACGAGGGGGTGGGTGGCCGGCATCACGCCTGGCCACTTTTGTCTCCCGAGCGGTGATGTTTACACATCACACCAGGTACTCATTTGAGGCTAAGTCAACCTACGGGAAGCCCAGAACCGATTCAGATAATCATCACTGGTGTTGGCCGTGAGCGGGAATCAAACTCGGGAAAGCCGGGTTCGTAGCGCAGCGCGCTAACCACTGCGCCACCACTCCCCACAACCTCGGAGGTAGCAACCCTTAATGCACGCACGCACGTTCACCCACACGGCACGCGTGCACGCGCACGTGTACTCACTAACATAGCACGCGTGCACAGCAAGCCTAACGTACGACACAGATCCATTCATTCAGCCTGTCGTGTTCATTGCCCCATAGCGCCTTGCAGCAAATTAGGCCCAGAGGAGTAGCCCGTACAACCTTGGCACATTACCGACTGCTCTCAAGCAAACGTCAAACTAGAAACAATTGGGCAAGAGATTGTAATTTAGTGATGTTTCAGGTAATTCTTTTTGTCTATAGCACCAGTCGGGCAGTGGTGGTGATGCATGTAGCCTGTAAATCAGCACTGTGGAGGCGGGAGTTGCTGGATCGCACACAGATTTCGTTGAAACTCCCTACCCTGGGTTGGGGCGTTGATTAGCAGCAATTCCCTGGCTATGTGCAGCACAATGTGGGCTCCACCCATTCCGTCTGTATGGGGATAGAGTGTTTCCCCCTTGCACGTGTGGGTTTTCTCTGGATTGTTCCGGTTTCCCCCCCCACATGTAAAATGGTGTTTAATTGGCCGATGACACCTGAATACGTAGAGGACTTAAGAGCTTGGGAACTGTCGGTGCTGGCTGCTGCCTTCCCACTCATCTGCGGTTCCTCCTCGTGTCTCGGAGTCGCTTTCTCGCTGCGAGAGCGGGTGAATGCTGTGCGCATTACAAGTCTATATTATGTCATGGCGTGATTTACCTTTACTAGAAGTAAAAGGAAATTCTGCACTTCTTGATATTATTATAACTGCCATTAATATTTTCATTATACTGTAGTAATGAGCATAATGTGTACTTATTTATCCAGGAAAGCCACACTTAGTCCAAAGACGTGCGCAGGTTTCTATGTACGGTGCGAAAGAAGTTCCACACACATACATACGTACAAAGGCACTCTTGTCAGGAGGGATCCTGCTCCTTAGGGATGTTTGGCCAACACGAATTGCATTGTTGTTATTGTTGTTTACCTATGGGAGGAAGCCAGAGAACCCATTCAGAACAGGGGGGAGGACATAAAATCTCCACGCAGAAAGCGCCAACGTCAGGAATTGAACCCAGGTCTTTTTTTTTATTAAGTGAAGCAGCCACTCTGCCACCACACGTAATAATAATAATAAGCTATGTTATTGTGATCAAATATTTAAGTTTATGACTAGATATTTACAGTTTGGTGTCTTTTAGGCTCCAGTCGTATTAATAGCCTTTTAATTGTTATTTATTTTGATTTAAAGCTTTCGTGACTGCAGTAATTGATATTCTTAGCTCTTTCGGTAAAGTCACGTTGAAGGGAAACAATAAAACAATAAAATATATTTATAAATATATAAACAATATATAAAGAGCTAAGAATGTTATTTATGTTTATATTTGCAAACCACTGCAGACTCGGAGTACTGTACTTACAATGTTGTTGTCCTGCCCAGAGTTGTAACAAAAAAATAATCCCTTTTGAGTCTGTTTTCAACGTACACTCTCACGTGTCAATGTAACGGGTGGAGTAAACTCCGTGTTAAGGTATCTTTACTCGTTATGAGTGTTTTAATGAGGCAATTAAAATGTCTGACGAGACAATGGGGGAAACGTGAAGAATATCGTCCGGGTACCCATCCTCCTCTATTCTCCACCCATTGTGGCCAAATAGCGACAAGCGCCATTGCTATTAAATTCCTTCGGTTAAAACAAAAGTTAACGCTGTACGTAGACGTACTGATGCGTTGAAGTTAAACACCCAACAACAAAAAATCCTTTACGCAGACATCGCATGCACGCGAGGATGACCGTTCTCCGTGTTAAACCGAGAGGACTGTTGGGTCAAATGTTGTGCGTTGATGACAGATGGTTGCGATTGGGGGCCAGTGCAACTACTGGGAAGTCTTGATTTAAAGCTTTCGTGACTGCAGAGATTCATATTCTTGGTTCTTTCGGTAAAGTTACGTAGAAGGGAAACAATAAAATAATAAAAAAATATAAAACAATGAAAAACAAAAACAATACTGGGAAGTCGTTTCTTTCTCTGCCAGAGTCGGTGCTGGCGTTCGGTCTAAAGGAGACTCACCGTTGCGTTTTGGTAGCGCGACGGCTACCCAGCGTCCCCACTGCCCTTGCTTGAGTGTCATTTTTTCCATCCTCCTCCGTAGCTAATGCCAGATGGTAGGAGACCCTTTAAGAGTAGACGTCGAAGGTCCGGCGCTGCGAGGGTTAGCAGAAGGAAGCAATGGCGAGCGAGGTGTCATTGCTTCATCGCCGTTGCCTGTGATCGCCTCTTCCGCTTGACCTTGGAACAAACTCTCAAGGTCATCACGCCACGAGAGGGATTGTGTGACCTGCACCGTGCATGCCCAGCCGACCTTTGTCTCCCCAGTAGTGCTGATATTGGAGGCACTGAACCGTTTGCTCATTTTAGGCTGAGTTGACCTAGCAGAAGCCCAAGCTCCGTTCAGACATGCAATACTTGATATATATTGTGCACGGGTAAAAATTTAACTTTTAGATTGTAGTGCAGTGTCAGCACACTTCCCCCCCCCCACCCCGTGTGTTCTTCACGCACGCACACCTAAGGCCATCAAAGTGACACGCGTCGCCGCGGCTACTAGCTTTTCATTGAGGGCCTCATCGCAGGGCGTGCATAATTAATTTTACAAGGCTTGGTGAGGCAGCGAACTAACAAATGAAAGTGTCTCGTCGAACAGCCGCTGCTGTCAGGGACACTTTAACGCCAGTGATTCTCATAGTCACGTGACGGATAGCCCACGAAACACCAAAGAACAGTTACAGAGCCTTGATGAGCATCAGACCTACTAACACTAACCCGGCTGAAACAAAGGTGAGTGATTTGAACTCAGCGGTCTGACGATGCAATGATATGGTGGTGGTGAACCCCTTGTACTGAGTCGGAATAGTTTCTCAACTGAGACAGACACTGAAAACTTTTTTCGTCAATCTTTTTTTTGTTCCCCATCTCTCGGTTTTATAAATTTAAAGAGGTCTACAATAGCGTGGAAGACTGTAAAACAAAGACGTTGCAACACTCACTACGGACCTAATTGAAGGTTTCGCAAACTGATGAGCAAGGTTGGCTGCGTAAGGTGCGAAAGAAGTTCAACATACGGACAATATAAACAACAATGGTCAAATTCGTAAACAACAAAAAATGCGACCATTTGGATGTTTTTCTTGTCAGATATTGGTATAAAAAAAACCCTGCCATTCCCCAAGCCACAGATCAAGTGCACCTTTGAGACAGAGCTGTGGAAGATGCGTGGCAAAAGATTTGCATGCTGCTGTGGGGCTTTCTACCCTTTGCTCCGTTCATAATATCGGATGCTTATGATGCTTGGGTGACCAACCACCGTGCATAACAGACATTGTAGACTGCGTGAGGTTACGTTGTAGGCGGTGGAGGGCGGTGTAGAATAATCCATTGTTGCACAGTGCTTCTAAGCTCCCCCCGCCTTCGCCAAACCGCACTGACCAGCGTGGTTAAGTATGGTCAAATGCCGTTGCACGGCATGGGCAGGGCCTTAATCGAGCGGTGGATTGAGAAAACCGGCTTCGCGCGTGCACCGTACTGTGGGAAATGCATCTGCTGCAGCGATTGGGAAGGTGTCAGCTGAATCAACACGCCGTTGAAATTCACGGCTGCTCATGGTGCGGCAAGTGGCTCCGTGACGAGCAGAGGTCTCGAGGCGAGAGGCCACGGGGATTCTGCCGTGGTTTGTATTTTTGCCTGAACTGCCACCTGCACTTTTAAAGCGTCCTTGGACAAGGGCAAACGCCGAGGACAAAATGTAAAAAAAAAACCTTTTACATTTTTATGATTTTTTTTGGTTATATGCCATTAAAATTGTCTATAAAGGATGGCTCGGGGAATTAAGAAATGCCATTCGCGTGAAACTGTCAACTCAGCGCAAAAACAATCCAGGTGGCAAAGTGACATTTAGAACCTTTGTTGTTGCCAAACAGGACCGCGCCAATGTTTATAGGTCCACGCCATCCATTTTTAGAACCTACAGTTGAAAATGCCTCTGCAGAGCACAGAGATAAATATTGATTAAAGTCGGCTGGCTTGCTCTTTAGTATTTTAAAAATACAGTAAAACCTTGGATTGCGAGTAACTTGGTCTGCGAGTGTTTTGCAACACGAGCAATTTTTTTAAATAAATATTAATTTCATTAACGAGCGAGGTCTTGCAATACGAGTAGTACATATACGCTTTGTCTGCCGAGCGTCACGTGTTCACAACTGATATATGAGTGCTTTGATATACGAGTGCTTTTGATTACAAACACGTTTCTGGAACGAATTATGCTCGCAATCCAAGGTTTTACTGGTAATTGCGAGTCGTTATAATCACCATATTGACCTAAACTGTACCACGCTTGGTCCATTGCAGTCTAAGCGAATATTACTTTTTTTTTACAATTTGAGTTC